TCAATATTTAAAAAAAACTAAAAATCAAAAGGAAAAAAAAAAAAAAAAAAAAAAAAGACAGGATTACACATTTTGGTTCTATGCAATTTTAACCAGCAAAGTTTATTTATATATAACAACAGTACAAAGTGAATCCTTGGCTTGCAAAATAGGTGTGCTTCATATTTACAATAGGTACACAATAATATATTATAATAACAAAATCAAAGCAAATAAAAAACCAAGAGAACAAACTTTTTAAATACTTTAAGTTCTTACAATTTTCACAACACTTTTATAAAACAAGAACAGACAACCATTATTATTATTATCATCATCAATGCCAGTAATTGCTATTTTACAGTACTCCAGTGTCTAAAAGGGTTTTTTTTTTTTTTTTTTACTATGTGTTTAAAATGGAAGGATACTCATTTTATATTGAGAGTAATACATTGATTGGGACTTGAGTTTGTGTGTCTGATGCCATTTAGCGAGCAAACAAGCTGAAAAGATAACAAAATGCTCTGATTTGTGTAAGGAATACCACGATTCACTGGAAGCAGAAAGTTTCACAAAGCATTTTCAGTTGTTCAGCTTCATCTGAAGTGAGGTTTGTGAGCATTTCTAAACATCTCTCACAACTGGCAGTCGAATGTAATTCTGCACTGCAGAACGGGTAAAAAAGAAAAATCCTCTCTTTTATTAAAATTAAATTAAAATGAGCGTACAACATGGTAACACAAACAAGCAATCACTTCATAACAACAACTAAAAAAAATCTCTGTTCACAATAAAAGGTGCTGCAATTTTAAGACATTTACAAATGGAAGAATTGCTGTCAGGCTAAATCATAGCACAGATCGATATGTCAATAGGAACACAAGGCAGAACTAAAGCACGAGTTAAAACGCATGCATAAATATCAGATGAGAAACATCTGGGTTACAAATGTTTTAAGAGAGAAAAATCAAAGCCATTCTTAACCAGTTGGAGCCTAGATTTGTTTATCACATTCCTGTGTTACAGGGGGAGGAGCTCACAGAACAGCTGGAAGGATTCTGTCAAAAAATAAAGTTCATTCCTTGGAAAAAGGAAAAAAAGGCATTAAGGTCCCATTGAAACAGAAAGCATTACTCCATATAAGCAATGTGAGGTATGAGGAGGATACAATTCTAGTCGCTGAAATTGGGAAGACACCTTCATCAAAAGGAAGAAGCTTCATGTTCTCTGTTTGTGCTGCGCATGTGTGCACTGCTGTGTACCTAGAGTCGGTTATTAGACCATTAGGGAGCTGGAAAAATTAACATACTGCATTTGCAAATAAATACCAAAACAAACTCAACAAATAAAACCGTGACCTTACCCCTTAATTTTAGTTTGCTATAAATACTTTTGATTGGCAGATTCCAGGAAATGATCTTCAAGAAATTAGAAAATTGATATGTTTATATAAACTAACAACTGGTTCAATTTTAGATTGCAAGCTCCTTCTTTTCCTCTAATTATGCTGGTATTTTATTTATTTATTTTTTAAATTTTTTCCAGCTAAAGGTCAGCTATCCTGCAGAGAGTGGAACTGTACCTGTGGCACAGAAGAAAGCATGTTCTTCAAGCAAATACACTTTAGTTTTAAGGTCAAATGTAAGCAGTGAATCATGAATCCTAAATCTGCTGTGATGCTAGTTTCTTTTTCTTTTTAGGACATCATTCAGTCCGACGTCTACTTGACTCAGGTCCAAAATACGAGATAAGGTCTACCTTGTCTTTTATCAAGTTACAACCACAACCTGTATTTTATTTTAATGTTATGTGATATACCAACACAAAGTAGAGTATATATTCAGCCCTTTTTTACTCTGATACCATTATATAAAAGGCATGCACACACACAAAAAAAAACCCAAAACTGATTCAGAACTCGAGTGAACCTATTGATAAATTATTAATCTTGCACCACTTTGATGGAAGAAGTCATAAGAGTAGTTCACCCTGTACACACCATTCACACAGTAAAACATGGTGGTGATATCATGATGCAGACCTAGACCTCATACATCATCCAATCAGATTAAGTCACTCTGTGACGAAGAGGGATCAGAAATTGCAGATTGTATTTGTGCAAAAGTGGAACATGCCACAAAATACTTGCAGAATCATGCAGTGAATGACGATTCTGCAAACTGAGGAGGGCTGAAAGCAAATTTCGAGCACACTATTAGAATTTATATTAACAAAAAATCTGAATGCACTACTTTCAGTTGGTATATCAGTTAAAATCTCACTAAAATACATTGAAATTTGTGGCTGTGAAGTAGCAAAATACATTTAAAAAAAATCAAGGATTATCAATACTTTAACAGGGAACTGTCCGCTGTTTGTTTATGTGGCATCGCTGATTCCATCAGCAGGTGCATTTTCAAACGAGGCAACACACTCCAGCCCCTCGTACTCACTGCTGCCCCCACTGGCATGACACAGCAATTGCACCTCACTCCTCACGTCATCGGACATTTCTTCTCGCCTCTTAGTTTGATGTTTTCTCCTGATCACAGAGCGCACGCAGCCGACTCAGATCAAAGAGCGTCTTCAAAGCCAGAGTGGGAAACCAGAGCTAAAGGGGCTCGCTCTCTCATTCTACCCCTGCATCGCTTTCTCATTTCTCTGCGCTTCTCTTCAAACGGTTGGGGCGAGCCGAGTGCTGGGAGAGGTGCTGCCCGCCTCAGCCTGGCCGTAGCCTCTTCACCTCTCCTTTCTAGATCGTCTCACTATCCTCAGCTGAGTGCTGGTGCCAGGATTCACTGAAAAAGCGTGCCCTGGCTGAGGACTGGTAAGATCAGGGAACACTAAGCAGGCAGGTATCTAAGGCCACAAAGAAAAGAAGCACCTTTCACCCACCTGGTACATGCGCTCTACACACAAAACTGTACAAACGTATTTTCAAGTACTTGATGTAAACAACAAGCAAACATGTCTTGGAAGAAAATAAATCAGCATTTCAGAGGATGGAATCTACAGTTTTCAGCCTGGTTTTAGTCAGGGAATGCTTTCAAACAGCATTTAATACATCAGATTTTTGTTTCCACCTTTTGGTTTTTCCTTCCTGCTTGTACGTCGTACCTTTCAAAACTCGCCAGTCCAGCTTTCAGAGCTTTGAAGTTAACCCAGAACGTGTCCTCTGTAAAGCGTAAACCGATTTTGACACACTAATAAGCAAGCTGAAACAGTAGGATCTCTTGGCACTTTGTCAAACTGAACCCACACAGAGTTCTTGTGGTCTGGGCAAACACATCGCCGTTAGTTGGACGGTATCTTCTACAGTAGCATCTCTTCTGACTCATTGGCACTTGATGAAACCAAACTCCTGGTAATGTTTACACATCGGATGCGTGACTTTGGGGATGCTGTGTGAATAAAGTTGATCACGCTCCCCAAATGAGACATTTGTGGGGAATGTAATGAAAATCAAAGCACATAGAAACTAACTGCTTCACCCGTCATCTTCTAGCTACTGCGTATCAGACTGCTGGCTAATTCTCCCCAAGCAAATCGGAATCAGAGTGATGAATTTCGGCTCTTTCGTAGCAGAATCAACTACAAGTATCGGTGTGTCTCACTTAAACTGGTCCAATATTTGTTGCGAAATTTAAAAAGATTTAAAAAGAAAAAAAAAAAAAACATACATTCACATACACCAATTGGCGCCTTAGAACAGCAGAGCGAAGCAGTTCTGCAGCCACTTTACCTCCATCAGCCTCAAGTTTGTTTCATGCATGCTGTCGAAGCTATAACTCCAAAATTAAGATCTGCTCAGATTTCCAATGATGAGCAGAAGTTGTTTTGATCTCCTTTCTGATCACATGTAGAGCAGCATTTGTTCATGTACATGTTTCTGTGAAGTATCAGTCCAAAAAGGGAAGGAGTGAGATAAGACGCATCTCTAACAAGATGGAGTCAGGGATACTCTGTGGATATTTTTCTTTAACTGCAGATGATGATATTCACATTTACAGAGTACAAAAATAAAATCTGAGTAATCTGAATGCACACTGTCCAACATGAGATCGGCCTTTCGCCTTCGTTTTTTCTTTCTTTCTTTTTCTTTTTTTTTCTTTTTTTTTTAGATATTTTCCTCCATTTCTCGCTCAGATGGGGGTTGGGAGGCTAAATCTGTTTCTCCATTTGCCTTCACAGTCTTGCACGAGTCTTCCTCAATATGACACACACTCTCATGCACACCCACACATGTGAACACCCACATGACATGCAATTTCCTGCCAAATCTAGAGAGGATCCTTTGAGGAAAACGAAACCAACAAACTCAACGTCCCTTATGTATAACATTATTATTTCCAGCTGGAGAGCCTCTGTGTCAGTCTCATCGTGATGGCAGGGGAAAAGAATCGCAAACTAAAGCAGTTGTGTTTGTCCGGCTGTAGATGTACAGAGGTCCCAGGTCCAGGTCGTGGTTGAAATTTCCCACGATGAGAGGTAAAGTAGTGACCTTTTAAGCAGGTCCATCGGTCCCTTCTCTCCCCTTCTTTGCTTTGGCAGCATTCACCTTCAGCTCTCCAAAGACATGGCAGAGATGAGCTGTTCCACCTTGTAGGCCAACCTCTGTTTCCTTGCCTGCTCCTCCTGCTCCAGGGCTGAAACAATCTGCAAAGAACAGGCAGCAATGTAGTAAAAAAAAAAGAGAAAAACACTCTGCCGTACCACATTACAACCATAAAGTGCCATGTATTTCATATTATAACCACCTAAAAGAAGGAAACTGGGTTCCTGCCTATGTATATTAATCCATATTAAGGTCTATTTGGTGTCTGAATAATTATATAGTCAGTTAAAGGGAGTTTCAGAGGAAGTCTCAAGTGTTCCTGGATCTCAGGTAGAAAAGTATGGTGCGCATTTCTATCAACCTTCTGCCTAAATCAGAACTTTGTAGAATCACCTATAGCAGTTTTACACCTTTACCAGCTCATAAATACAGACTAAATTTTAGCTTGTTCTTGTTTGCAAAATGGAACAAGCTTGTATAAATTGTGTGTGGAATAGAATAGAATAGAATATACTTTATTATCTCAATAGGAAAATTTGCAAAACATTTGCTTTTTTTAAATTTTTGAAGTCAAGTCACAGATTCTTGTTTGGATTAAGGTCAGGACCTTAATATTCTGACTTATATGTTTGCTTTGATGCAAACCTTTATAGATCTCATCTCTTACTATTTCCACAATTTTATGGACACGAATAAAAAAAAACGAAGTTTGCAGTTGTAAATTGGAAAATTGCAAAAATAAATAAATACATATAATTCAAGGGCAGTCTATGTGTCACAGCAGAGTAAAGCGTGAAATTTTGAGCCCCTACATGGACATCACATGAAAGAACATGTCTGTAAAAAAAAAATTCAGAAATATCATTCCATGTTTTATCTTCTGAGCTCCGTCTTTTAAATTTGGCATTTGTCAAGCCGGGTTCAAAAGGCAGTTGGACGCGCTCTCCTCTCAACTCTCTAATCTCGTGTCAACTTGTCAGGCTGCATCTCTGTCAGCGTGACGCCACCGTACGCAGCAAGTCTTCTTTGTATGAACACAAACTGAAACACAAATGCTTGTTTTCCCTTTGATATGCAGTCCTGTATTCAAATGCCACAACCCAGTTTAGCACATGGTCTCTGAATAGCAGCAGTTTCTGTTTGCTCTTGTTAACTAGCAGAATGCTGTGCTTTTCTTAATAATTAATATTTCCATCAAAATAATTCATAGAGACATTTTCTGCATTATGTTATGTAAATAATTCTTAGGTACATGACATAAAATATGAAAGTTGGGGGCTGGAGGAGAGATGACAACCATGCTGTGTTTTTATTTTATCTTATTTTATGTTTAAATGTGTATAATAACTACCGGTACTCAAATCTCTGCAATTTTTTTTTTAGCATAGTGGTATAATCTTACATTAATAATCAAGGAAAAACCGAACCTTTAATTTGAGCAAATTTTTCCAGTAGGGTGGAAAAAAGGCCCATGCTAAGCCATCATTGTTTTTTTTTGCTAAATTACCTGTGGCACAAATAATTGCACCCCTGCTGTCGATGCTTTGAAGAACAGAAGTTTGCCAATAGGAGAGCACTTAGTCTCATCCTGTGAAATTTCATGGAGTTGGAGCACACAGAGACGGATCTTTGACCATTTATGTTTCCACAATTCTTCAGCTTTTCTACAGGATTTATGTCAGGCGACTGACCAAAGAAGAAAAGCTGATTAACTGCAATTAATGACACATTTTCATCCTAAAGATTTTCATACATCCAATAAGTACAGAAGGCTATTGTTGTTAACCTTGAAAAGAAGCAGACCTTTTATATTTCATCCTCTTTGGCAAATTGATTATGTTTGAGGTGACTGTTTCTATTTTCTTCATTCAAACTTGAATCTTGATGGCCTACAAGTTTCAACATCTCCTGAAGAAGCTGTACATTTTATCTGCTGTGGCCTTTTTCAGCACCAAGTCCTTTATTTGCTTCCTGATCTGAAGCAGAACAAAGTATCTGTGTGCTCACCCACCATCTTTCACTCATCGGTTTTAAGACCTCCTTAACGGCTCGGTGTAATAGTCATAACGTTTTCTCCTCCTCGTCGAGCTTGAGTGAAATCCATTATTAATCTGCATTCCTTTATGCAGGTGAAGCCCTCCTCCCCAAATCCATTTAAGAAGGCTGGTGCTGCTCTGGCCTGGTTACTCTGAGTAAACCAATTAATGAGACTTGATGATGTTTTCTCGCACCAGAGACTGTGGGGGCAGTGGTGCACATGCCGTGGCTTGTGTGTGTGTGTGTGTGTGTGTGTGAAAAATAAGTGCATTTGTAAATGTGAGCATCAGACAATGGCAACTGCAGAGGCAGCAAAAGCAAGAGTGTAAGATTCATGAAGAGCAAAGGGGAAGCTGACTGGATAATGAGCAAAAAGTGAAAAGAAAAGGAGGAAGAGAAATAAAGAGAGAGACAATCAGAGATGTAGAGAGGGAGAGGAAGTTGAACATAAAGGTCAGACTGAAGTTTCCCACAGGAGGGGCTGACATTAGAACCAGAATGTCTCCATAAATGCCTTCACACACTTCTCCTTTTATACGTTTCCTGTGATCTAATAGTGTGTGTGTGATGCCTGTGATTCTACCCGTGAGAGCTACACCGAATAGAACGGCTCTAACTCTGCACTAGCAAAAAGACAGCACAGCAAGCTGACAGCTTGTAGACACTCACTTTCCGCTCAGGTAAGAATCGGTGCGTTGTTAAGCTCAGGTCTTACCAGACCTCTGGGCTTTGGGAGGAAGCTCACTGACCTCGGTAACCTTTGCTAAAAACGTCCTGGGTACACCAAGGGCCTGACAATGCAGGACAAATTTGTGGCTTGCTTTCTTTTGGTTCAAATTATACTGACAATCGGCCTGTAATTGGCAGCTGATTTACTGAAGCAGCAGTTTGTTATGCAATCAGTTTGGACGACTGCCTTCCAGGTTGAATGTGCAACTGAGTGAGAAAAGCATGTAAAAAAAAAAATATGGGAGAATCGTCTGACCTCAACAAAGCAAAAACATTGAGATGCATATGGACACCTTTGTAAATGTTTATTAAGGCAGTCACCCATTTGTCAGAAGTTGCAGAGTAAAACTAGTCCAATATAAAATCTATTAGTGACTTTATTGTGAGCACTAAATAATAATTACAAATAGTGTTAATTGTTCTACTTTCTGATTTAGAAATATTTGTTAATAAAAAACGGAACAGTTTATTTGAGAAAGTTTGCCCAAAGAAAGTAGATTTTGTTACAATGTCATTTTCAGTTGTGGTCTTACTTCTGCTAATCCGCTGAGAGAGAAGCTAATTTTTTTGCTTAGCATCTTAGCGGTTTTGCTAACTTTGAAAATGTTTAGCGCACTTAGCTTCTCCTAACTTATTTTTTCTGGATAGATTATTTTAATTCTACTTTGCTGTTTTGTAAACTTTCATTTGAATAGAGTTTTGGTGTGAAGTGACAAATTTGACCTTGTTGAGGTGACATGCTCCGCTGGTGGGGATCAGCATGGTTGAATCTAGCGCTATAGCGTTAGCTTCTCCTAAATGCCATGTTGGCATAGCTCTCATCTTTTAGGGAAACTACTGTTTATGATTAGTGATTTAGAGTTAGCACTGCTAACTTTTTAGTTAGTGATGCCCAACTATATAGTACTATGCCATTTTCTTGAAGCTATTTACTAATTTATGCTGCTCCACACAAATTGGTCTGTAAATGTTTCCTTGTTCTAAAATTAATTGACCTTTTTCGCTGCCCTATATTTGCACACGCCAAGACAAAAATGAGTCATGAATGAAGGGGCTTCAGTTATTTCTTAAAATTTGAGTTTTTTAACGAACTGAATAAACACACTCAAACTATGGTTGTATATTAAAAAATATGTTATACCACTACAATAAAATATTTCACATTTTTAGAGCTTTTTACTCGTCTTAACAGGTATGCAGAAGGTGCTGTTTTGCTGTTTGGTATTGCCTGTGGTTATTTTGTTACTAGTGGTAAATATGCATTCAGCAGAAGTCCAATTTATTTAGTCAACAACAGTGCAACATGGGAAATGTGAGTAAATTATGAGGAGAATACAGAGCAAACCTCTGTCACCTTAACCAGAAGGTCAGGTTGTATTGATCTTGCTGAAGCACATGTAATGTGAACTCCAGCTAATCCAAGCGCTTACAAGATAAACACACTTATTTGACAAAATTATTTACTATTAAAAGAAAAACCTCAGAAAAACTGTGCTCTCTCTCCAGCTGGAGCACTCAGACCTACCTCCTCACTGTACTTGCTGACATAAGAGTAGATCTCATTGAGAGCGCTGAGCATGTTGAACTCTGTAGAGTGGAGTCTGGCCTGCTCCGCCAAATACGCATTCATGTCCTGATCACTAATTGCCGGCATCCGGGTGATATCAGCGTAGTACCTGGAAATACAGGCAACACGAAACACTTGGAGTCATTCACTGAGTTAATATGATTGTTCGACTGAGGTTTTTATTACTTTATAGTCATATTTTCAAGCCATTACACCACTTTTGCTGACAATTTATGCCTGCTAATATTCACTGGCAGAGTGCTTTTACAGACTTTGTCTGAGAAATGTGAAAGAAAAAAAAGAGCTTTTTGAATCAATTTCCAAAGATTACCTGCCTTTTTGTGTAAGAGGAGACAAAAAAAAAGTGTGATTTAGTGTCGATGTTGAAAGTAGTGATTACACATACCTTTCTACCCAGCTCTTATAATTAGGGATATCTTTAGCGTAGAGCAGTTTATTAGAAGGCGAGTCTTTGCCCAGCCGGTGCTCGGAAGTCGAGCAGGAATCCATAAAGGTCTGAGCTACCACAGATAGACAGGCGTCCGTGATGCTGCTCTTATGGATGTCAAATACAAACTGAGGGTTCTTGATCACGTTCACCCAGAAACGCAATGGAAGGCTTTAAGATGGAGATGAAAAACATAAGTTAGGGACAGACATGGACCTAACTAATACCACATTTGTTTCCGTTTCCACAAAAAAAAAAAAAAAGTCTTACCAGTTGCTTTTCCATGTGTGACGAACGTCTGTGTCGTAAATGCCATGTCTGTCTGCCTGTTCGTCTAGGAAGTCAAACATGTATTTGATGGCCAGGGGAAGCGTACTCCCTCGATGGACCGTACTGAACAATGTCTCAAACAGATCGTCGACAAATTTTTGGAGAGTGCCCTGTACGAGGCGACGAAGAGCAAGATGTTAAAACTGTGCATAACGCCTTGAAGTTTGTAGTGGAAAAAGTTCAGCCAATATGAATATTTTTTCCAATCGTCACACATAAAAGTGTTAATGTACAAGTTGGCTGACGTACCTTAGTTGCCAACAACCGGGTTAGATAAATCTCAGAAACCATCTTGCTGCCTCGATCTCCTTCCTTCTGGTCTCCATGTTCATGGTTCTTCACCAAGTGCCAGACCTTTACACCGCTCTCCAGGTCCGGCGTGATCATAGGAGCACGAGACCTCAGGCTGTCTGGACTGCCTGTGTAACGGAACGAAGAGTCTGTCCGAGTTGAGAAAAAAAGAAAATTGTAGGGTTATAAATACGAATCCATGAGGTTCAGCCAGAAGTACATGCAGACATCATAGGCCTGAATGTGTACTTCATTTCAGATCTTTTTTTAAAAGCTTTTTCCAGTTTGGAAAGATGTTTAACATAAAACTTAAGATTTAACACACAAATTTGATCAGTTTTTGCCGCCGATCCACAGACAGTGGAACTGACATATCGGCGTTATAATCATACATGGATCTACATTAAGCTTTAATTAACAGCAACGGGTCCTGTAGTGTCAACTGGACAAAGACTATTAACTTTTTGACATTTACCACGGTTAATAGCAGCTTGTAGTTTCTCTTTTCCTTTGTAAAAGTGATTTGGTTGATAGCAGATCTCTTAACAACAAAACGGCACAGACATTTGGGTAAAGATGTAAGAGGAAAGATTTTAGTTTTTATATAATATTGCAAAGGACTTGTAGGATGCTGAACAAGATGGATGAACCTTCTGTAAGATACTTTAAAATGTCTTCTAGAGAACATTTTATGACGGATAATACAATTAATTAAACATTTGGTGACAATAACAAGGAGTATTTTAGAACAAGTTGACAAAACATCAAACATGGCGTTTCCTCAGCCATTCATGTCAGAACTACTGATAGTATGCATTTTAAAATGTGTGTGTGGTCCAGGTGTGACTTGCTGAAAGACATTTAAAGGTATATTATTGTGGGTGTAAGGTTGCATTCAAGCAAACAGATTTCACAGAAAATCCCCCCAAAATTCAAATCCTCATGAAAGGCTGTTGTTGTCTTTTGCAAAATCAGTCCACAAGAATGGTTGAAATAATTCATTAAAAATATTATGACACTCAAGTCCATGAGGAGATTATGTAAATGCTGAGGGAGAACAGGACTTCTACAGCTTTCCTTTGTTCATCATAACACAACCTAATTTTGCAGGCAGGTTGAAAATAATGCTGCAGATTCATTTCCTGTGATTATTCACTGTTTGATTTTTCTGTCTCTGTCATAAATTATGTGATAATTATCATCTTTTATCTTCTTCATCTACTTATATAATCCTTGGCTCACGAGGGTTGTGCCTGGCTTCACTTAAAAGACATGATTGGCTTTTCCCCAAATGCCATTTTTAAAATAAAAATCTCCGTCGCGCCCTCATCAATGCCTCAAATGATCCCTGATTTGTAAAACTCAGTCCTTCTCCAATACATCACCCCCATCATGCATCCTTCCACCTCACATTCTCACTCCGAATGATGCCGATTTTACTTCCACTAATTAGTCGGCATCTACTCCAGGCAGCAGCATCTCTAGAGGTTCAGGATCTGAGGTCCCGTTTGAGGATTTCTCTCACCTGGCTTCAAAGGCCGAGCGGAACAAAAAAGCATTAGCTGCCATTTAAGCCCCCTATACCTTTCAAATAAGACCCTACTGCACCCCTTCAGTGTCTGCTGGGGATGAAGAAGGTTGAATGCATGCGACGGGTGGATTGGGATCCCAAATCCGATCTTAATCCAGTCACTGGCTTTTACTCCTCTTCTGTTCCCTTATGCTCTGTATCTTCCCTGTTTCTGCAGCCGTTTTCCGAGCTGATCAGTTGTACTTGTGGCACAATGTGAGCCAAGATACTAAACTCTGAAAATTGCATTAGTTTGAATCCATCTTCTTCTGTGCCAAACAATGATTAATGAAGGTCGGGCTAATGCCAGCAAATTGACACCTCTCTATCCATCTTTGCTGGTAATAAGAGAAATAATCTTTTAAGCAACCTTTACTGTGATAACTATCATTTCCTTGTAGTGATACCCTCTAACTTTAATGTTTTATTTCAAAGAGAACTACCGAATGCTAAGCAGTGTTTCTAAAGGTCAATTTAGATGAGGACTGTTAATAAATGTCACCTCACTTTATTTTACACTAAATACTCCAAGTAGATGTATTGTTTAACCCAGAGTTCACAGGCACACACACTCTGTGTTTTCTGTAAATACGTTTAATTGCTTGGAGGAATGAGGGTGTTCTTAGCTTGTTTTCGGTGTTAGACAGTTTAAAGGCAGACTTTAGCTCTTCTCCCCCAGTCCTCATAATTGGCCCTGCTCGCCTTCTTATCTTTTCTCTGTTTGTGTGAAGCATCATTCACACAGAATAATTAGCAATCATGAGTTGCCTGGCGCTGGTGCTGCGTCACTCTGGCAATGGACCAAAATTTGGCACTAAACAACCCAAAGTAAGTCACACATCTGAGAGTCTGTGAACCCATGTAGCCTGTGTGGCAAATGATGCGTCATCGATGTTAAAGAATTGGTGAGTTCAAGACCTGATAAAAGGCAAAAAGGAAGACTACAGCGCAAAAAAATTGCACTATATTGCAATTTTGCAAAAAAAAAAAAAAAAAAAGGGGGGTCTCTTTACCTTTTCTTGATTGAAAAGAAAAGCATCAATGACGACCCAAATGAAGTCATGCTTAATTACATCTACTTTGTGTGAGAAACAGATAGAGGTCAAAAATACTTAAACTTTTCAGGGCATATTCATGAATTAGCACCTCCTGAATAACAGGTAGTTCCTCCCTGGGTTTGAAGGGTTCACCAATAGGAGTAGGCTGATATTTTTGCAGAGTGGACAACAAGGCTTTTCTTTAATGAAATATGTTTTAAAGGGTTGTTTTCTGATCAATCATACAGGGACCATCATCTAACGCTCTAGGAGTTGGGGTCGCTAATGCTCCATTTGGACACAATTAGATGTTTTCATTTTTAAAAATCTGTGAATCACTTAAAAAATGTGTTTAAATTCAGAGAGACTGCGGTTAAATAGTAACAAGTTATTATTGCAGATCACTGGATTGTAATCCCAATAATCAGTAAATTTCTTATCTTTGAATTCTTTTTAAAAAAAGTTTGTTAGACTTAAACCTTTCCGTGGAGTTTGGACCAACTTTCTGTATTTTTTGAAACAAAGTCACTAAGTTAAAGTTTCATTGCACAGCAGCCTTTTAACTCCTCTCCCACTGAAACTTGGAAAGACATTGATTATTGTAGTTCACTTAAAATCCATCCCCTTAGTACATTTTCACAAAGTTTGAATTGACTTTACAAAGTCAATTTAAAGTATTGAAGCCATTATAAAAAACACTAAGATAAATGCTACATTGGTAAAATGTATTCACATACTGGACTTTGCTGTTTTAAAGGGGAAGTTATCCTTCTTTCCAGATCAGTGACTTTCCACTGTTCTGCATGTTTTCAATGTTTCCCTGCCTCCACACACCTGACATAATTAATGAGTTATCATTAGGCTTCTGCATCACTTAATGACACGCTAAGGAGGTAATCATTCATTTGATTCAGGTGTGCTAAAACATGAAGGACAGGCAGTTTATAGGCATGAGGTTGAAAACCACAGCTGAAGGAGCAAACCTCCGCGAATAGGAAATAAAAGTTTCAACAAACAGCACTTATGATTGGAAATGGACACAAATGAATTTACAAGCATGTTACCAGTACGCTACCCTGAGCTTATATCTCTTGAAACTTAGTTATTGCAGACTTGGTTGTAACAGCAGTGGAAAACGACCACCGGCTCCCGAAGTGCAAACACAGCTTACTTTATAATAAGGAAACACAAACATGCTACAGCTCTCATTCTCTCTTTTAATTATTTTATTTTTTCTCTCTTTTTACTCTAGATCATTAGCAGTTTGAACCTCAAAAAGAATGCAAACAATTTCATAATTACCTATGTTGTACATGTCGTCTCATTTTGCAATTAATGTGGAGCCAATGTGTGCTGACTCACCGTATCTGCTGATGGAGGTACGGGTTATGCTCGCTGAAGAAGGAATGTTATATGATGAGGTTTGCTTGGGGACCAAAGCTACCACGCTGCGATCAGAGACCTGCATGAGGAGACACGGAGAACGCCACATTTCACTCCTGAATGCATATCTGCAATTTGTCACATTCTGAAGAGAGGTCATGGGTTACTCAAACAAAATAACAGGTGTATGCATGCATACAGTGTTTTCTGATAAATTATTCAAACTATGAAGATCAGAAGTAAACAATTCTCTTAGCAAAGACTCACAAGAATTCCTGTTGCTCCCTGTTGTTCTGCACCACAAGCTGAGCAAAGTGCTGCAGCTGCATGACGGTTGTACTCAACATGTCTGTCATTGTCATTTTCAATACTTTCAGAAACGTTACAGAGAGCTGAGGTAAGCTTTGGCGCTGGGAGATTATGCAAAGAGAGGGAATGGTTGATGGAAAAGGAGGCTCAGTGTCTCAGCTGGTGTACTTGCACCCTTACCATAAATGGTTGGTGCGAGTAACAACACATCTCTGAGTACCAACCAGTCAAAAAAGACGATAGGACGAGGCGGTAATATTTGAGGATGATGCTCAGTTTAATCCTTTTCCCTTTGTGGATTTGATTTCAGAGTTTTTCTCCAGTTATTATTGCTGAAAAGCTGTAGACAGAACACGCAGCGCCCTACAGCACAGAAAATGTCTTCAAAATTAGCTTCAAGACTTGATTGTCATATGAGATCATTTATCAGTTTAATTAATGAATGCTACTGCTGCTAGCGGACCAAAACATCTCTGCTTGAGAGAGCCAAAACACAGCAAACAACTCGCAGTTCTTCAGTGAGAACCAAAAACAACAAAAGAGCTTGTTGGCTGGCATTTGCAGCTTACCCCGAGGAGGGAATTCTGCTTCAGACCCAGCAAAGACAAACTGATGAGCCTCCAGTAGAGAAATAAACAAAAGGCAAATAAATGCCAGGCTCCTAAAGGCACACCTTAGAGAAACAACAGGATAAAAGCAAAAACATTTTCCCTTATATCTCTTAGCAGGAATAAGTTATTTGTGCATTTCGGTTTGGAAAATATCACGCTGCATATTGTTCATATTGGATGAAGCTGGGCTGCTCCATTCCTCCCTCCCTGTAAACCTTACATTCTTTCTCAGCTGATCTCGCCAGTGAAGTTTCTCAAAGTACAAAGGAAATACCAAATCTCTAATGAGTGAAACAAATGTTCTTTAATCAGAAGTGCAACATTGCCTGCTTTTAGCACTATTGCTATGTAATTAATTGAAACCATGATATCCTGGAGCCTAACTTAACACATTAACATTTAGCATTAACATATTTTTAATCTAACTTGAAACAAACTAGTTATAAAGGATCTGGAAAAAAATAAGGTCCAAAATAAAAATGATTTTAAAAAAAACAAAAAAAAAAAAACAAGATGTGACATAATGTTCAGTAACAGCATTTTGTAATATTGTAGTAAAACCTTGTGATCAAATTATCCCTCAATAAAGTATAGTGCACTCTACACAGTCCATGGGCTTTCCTCCTCACTTTCTTTCTCACCTCCACTGTTTCTTGTCAGATTCTGCTCGCCTTAACTTAATTTCTACATCCTCTCTATCCCACAGCCTGGTCCAATTGGCTGACAGTGCATAGACCAGCTCTAACACACCATCAGGGTACACTTCCGTGAAGTTTTCTCTGCTATTCCTGTGATACATTTTCTCTGGGGAGCATGAAATAGCTTCTCAGTACCCCCTTTCCTTTTTACATCTGCCTCCATCTCTCCGTCTCTCTCTTTCTTTATGCTTTTTATGGCTGAAAGAGAAGCGAGAGCAGAGATGGCTCCTTGTGATAGGAGTAAATGATTGAAGGCGTGCAGATTCGCCCTTCAGGGATAATCCAGTGTGGGGCTGATAGTGGGCAGGTGTGATAAGGGCTGTGGACCCCGCCTGTGATAAGGCCTTCCATTAGACACTGGTGAGTCGGCCAGACAGCTGAGTGTGGTCATCTTCTACCTTTCTTCCTCCCTCCTGCATTCTCTTAGATCATGATGCCTATCAGAGGAATCGCCGCTGCCCAGTTGCTTGGAAATAAACTCTGCATGTGTGCAGCTTCTGTAAAAACTAGAAAGGGGGGAAAGTCTGAAGGCAGTCATCAAAAAAGAAAAAGTACTCAAGATTTATTTTATTTTGGACTTAAGGTGGAGTTTGGATATGGAAAACATGTAATTTTTTTGGGACTGTGTCTTCAAAAGCTGCTTTTAGGGATGTGACTCAGAGTGCAGCAACATTAACCAAGCATGTCACTTATTTTCATTTCACATCCTAAGACCATAGTTCTCCTTCTGATTAAAGGCTTATATTTTAACCAAATTGAAAACAGACTCGAGACAACTACAGTGTTGGACTGAGAAACACAGCAATGAGCACGTTTGTGTTGTACGTTTTGCTGTTCAAAGAGCCCAAAACGCCCTGAGATCAGTTTGTCTGCAGAGCTCCAGGAGTCATCAGTCTGCTCTCCAGGTTCCGCTGGAACAAACAAGTCGGCACTCAAATCACCAGACTAAACAGCAGCTAAACCAAAACATTATGGTTATGATAAGTATTTATATTGCATAGACGAATACATAAAGGTGAAAACCCCTAACAACAGGTTTTCCAGACTAAGCTTGGATTTTCCCTTCTGCTCTGATTTGTCTTTTTTAGAACTACTTTAGATTTTTCTTGGGTTTCTTGTGTTCTGCTGTACCTTAATTTTTATTTTGTAGAATTAATTTCTTAGTCACACCT